GGTGTTTTGGTAAATGTTTCTGAATCCCTTTTTGCTAGAACTGCAATGATGCTTTATAGTACAATAAATCAAAATAGCAAAAATAATGGGGGAAAAAAAGAACCATTTAATGTTGGCTTAAGCTTCTTTTTGGCCAGCTCCACATCTCACTTCTTACAGTTATTCCATCAAGCCTGTAAGGGAGGTAGTCACAGCCATCTTTGTTTGGCTCCTTCGGCTCTTAATATTAGATTCTGGTGCGATTGAGCAGAGATATATCTACAGTTAAAGTTTCAGGACTCCACCCCTCGAGGACAGAAGTTCCCAGTACCTGATCTAAATAAACACCTTTTCTCTCCCTCTCTTCTGTGTTCATTATGGCAGCACTAGCGCACCCCCATTGCAAAGGTATTAATGTCACAACACTTGTTACAACTTGAGTCAGCCTCAGGTGATCTCATCTTTACACTTAAGCTTCTTCGGTGCAAATAACTAATTTGACTTCATTTGGATGTTGTCTTAAAAACCAACAATATTTCTGTCGCTAATTTTTCTGGATAAATAAATGCTAAATGAAGGAGGAAAATCCTGCTTACACCCAGCCCTTATTTTGCAAAACAAAAGATCCATTTAAATGTGGACCTCTTATATTTTCAATGATTGGGGCCATTTCCACCTTTGTGAATCAGATCCTGATCCATGCTGACCAGAAAAAACATGGGAACATGTATGAGGACTAAAAGATACACGTCATGCATTTGACAACATTAAGTTGCATTTCTTATTACTTTTTTTGACGAATACAACGAAACATCAGTGGAAGTATTTGCACCCATAGAGCCCGTCACAGCAGAGAGCCCGGATGTCATCTCATTGTACTTCCTGCAGTGGACAGAGGTCTCTTCTTTATCCCTTTATCTCTGTCGCCTTAGCCACCACACCGGGTTTGCATACAGCTCTATCAGAGAGCTGTCAAATGATGATACACTGTGCATCTTTATGAAATGTCCTAACCCCACCCCCCACTCATCCGTGGACTGGGAAGAAAGTCTGGGGCCAGTATTTGTCATGTAAATAAAGTCAGCTCAACTGCCATTCCAATGGATTTGCATCTGGGCTGAATGTAGGTTAGTCAGTCAGTCACGATGGACGTGTATTGCTCTGAGTGGATATCAGTGGGAACTAATTCAAACATACGTGCCTTTTTGGAAGCGCACTGGTCTGATCTTAAATCGTTAACAGTTTTCTTAAGGATGAAATAAACAATCTGCATGAAAATCGCACCAACCTACGGTTTTATTCACTGTAAAGGTTAAATTCCTGCATTTAAATGCTGATGATAAATTTTCTCATGCTTCAAGAGAAAGAATTGCACAAAATATCCACAAAAAATAAATTTGTTGTGTTTATGTTCACTATCTCTGACACTTCAAACCACTATAGCATTGTTAGTTTACCATGATAAACTGGTATCATTACTGCATTACCTTTACCTAAAACAGCAAATTGTTCAAAAGCAAATTTTATATGATGTCAAGTTTGAGTTGTTGTAACTAGCTTCATAATAGCATTTAGCTGATATCTGCAGAAGGAAGGTCTGACTTCAAGAATGGGAATACATGCTTTTATTTATACCTTTTGAACCTGTTGGGAACAGCAAAGAGTATAAAGATGAACAGCAGTTAGGAAAAGGATCAGTTGTAGAGCTCAACGCAACAAAGACTAAACAGGGTTCAGATCTCAAGCTCTGCACCAGATTCATGGATGGTGTACAAAATTAATGCTTTTTTTCTGCACCATGTCACTTGGGCAGCATTTGTCAGAATCTCTCAGGTTGTAGCACCTGTTCACATCTAACACGGGGTTTTAAGTTAAAACACTGAAAAAAATCATGAGGAAATATTTATTTACCACATTTAGCACACTAGAGACAGGAAAGCTAAATTACCAGTATTAGAAAATATCTGTAGTTCTCCTAACTTCAAATTTTTCTTTTCCCTCATCTGGTATTGCGTCTCTCCAGTTACTGCTGATGTTTCCTCCAATAACACATCCTGCTCCATAGGTGGAAGCATACAGAGTTTAGGCTGCATTTCAGCAATTAATTGGCCTTCGGAAAATAGGCATCAGGCAGACAGAAGCTGCTGTTTCCTGCCCAGAGAAAACCTTCAAGCGTTTCCAGTTGGTTCTTATTTTCCCTCAAACTGTGTCCCCTGCAAAAACAAACAATATTTATTCTCCTGTCCTAAACCCTGACATTCAGGGTCATCGTGGTCTGCTCATCTTTCCTCCCATTAACTCTAGTTTTCATGTCATCTGTGAAATTCGAGTTCTGCATTTGATAGCACTAGACTTGTTTTTTTGTTTTTTTTTCTCCAGCTTCGCAGTGTTTAAAGAAACTTTTCAACCTTTCCTCACTTTTTACTTGTCAGATTTAACACTGATTGTCCTCCAAAATAAGAAAAATGGCTCTCCTGTTACAGAAGGAGTGCCCCGCAAAGGTCTTCTCTATAACAATAAACTCTGACTGAGTCCATTTAAGCAATGGAATATTAATACACACCCAGAATACTGGAAAGAAACCCTGTCCTTATATATATTAGCAGATGTGCAAAGCTACAGAGAGATAAAGCAAAGGTTAACAGCCCATTTTGTTTGTGTCAGGGGTCCATGTGAGCGTAACAGGATCAGTGAACGTGGAGCTGCATGACCTCAGAGAATATAGATGTTTTGCAGATCAAAATGTCCCCCACGCTTTTCCTTCTTAATGCATTTCTTCTTCTCTTCATCCTTGAGGCCACAGACTCTCTGAGCATTAGTACGTTGTAATGGGAACAATGTGCACTCACAGCTCTAATGAGATTTTCCCTTTCAGTCCAACTTGGACAAACAAAAACATCCTCAATGGGATGAAGAGAGAATCTGTTGACTTTTTTCCTTTTCTTTGTTGAACACTTTAAACCACCTTTAAAAATGACATCAAGCTCTGATTATAACCTGTTTAAAATGGAAAAACGAACTTGACATAAAGGTCATTGTTCTGTTTATGTGGAGAAATCCATCAGATCTACCTGCTCGTTTTACTCTAGATAAAATAATTACTGTGTCTGGCTTCAGAAGAAGAGACGAGGAAAAGTGGTAATTATGCAGATTCTCAGTCAACCAAATTAAACGGAGTGGGCTGCCCAGGTGTCAATAAACCTCACTTTTATTTTTTGCATGATTCAGTTAATTGCAGAAGTATTTGTACATCTTTAAGTTTCCCACACATTGTCATGTTATGTGACCAACCATCAGCAGGGCATACATTGCGGTCAGAAGCAAATAGCGAAAAGGAAATAGAAACATTTTATTAATGAAACAAACAACACCTTAACAATGGACAGCAATGCAAGACAGCTTCACGTGATCATCATCATGGTACTGAATGGATTAATGAATCAGTGAACGCATGCATGTATCGACCAATAGCAATTCAAGAAAACAGCACTATCTGTCTCTAGTCTCCCTCCAGGAAACGGTGTTATTTTTCCACAACATTTGGATTGCAAGGTGCAATGGCGTAACAACACTACGATAGGACCGGAAGAAACATTATCTGGGCAGCCCCATATGAAGTACAACACCCCGTCCCCCCCTGCCTAACTGGATTACCCATAATTCCAAGTCATATTGTAAAAAATAAAATACTCAAATACATCGTTCTTTAAAGATCTTTATTGTGGTTTGAAACATATTATATTAGTGTATTTTTGATAAACAATCTAATGAACTATATACAGTTACTAACATAGTAATTACAAGTACCACTGTCTGCTTTGCTATTGGTGTTGTGTTTAATTGGCTCACCATCATTTGGAAATCTGCCATGTGTTGGGGTATAAATAAGGTCCGGTCAGTCAAGGCAGTATCAGGTGGATTTAAGAGGAAATTCTTTGCACCATTACATCTGCAAAGAGACGTCCTAGTCCACAATGGCGTAGGGGACCAACCAGGTGTCAGTGATGGGGCCCCTAAGAGGTCGGGGGCCCCTAAGCAACTGCAGTCTCTGCTTACCGATAGTTACGCCATTGGCAATGTGAGAAAGTTGTATTTTCACCTCACTTGACTGGAGCACGTTCTTATATGCTGTCTTTATTGCCCTGTATTAAGCTCCAGCAGTTCTCATGTCCCTCTTCCAACTGGCTTCCATTTCCTGCTTAACCAAAGCTTCTTTGAAACATGGCGCTGCCATCAGAGTGTTTTATTATGAGGATAATGAGTTTGGCATGTAGTGAGGTGGGTGTGTTTTTGCCTTCTATTGGACTTTTCACGTACAGGAAAAGTTCAATTTGGTTCATGTCTGACCAGAGTATATTCTTCAGCATTTTTGATGTCCACGTGAAAGCCATGACATGTAGTTGTTATGTCTGTTCTGCTCCTCTGTCTTTATGATGCTGCTTCTCCTCCAAAGTCAGTAAAACCTCTGATTCCTTCACAAACAGCTGCATTTAGTTCATTTGGTTCTGCTGCAGCAGATTTCCTCCCAGATACATCCTGGCTTTTCTTTTTTGTTCCTCTGCCTCTTTTTGCATTAGTCACCACCACAGCATCGAAAGCTGCAGCCAAGACATATTTTGGCTTCAGAAGTTTCTATTTCAGCAGCCTGGTTTGTTTTTCTTTGAACTCTGAAATGTGACGCTGGTGTGGAACAAACTGCAGGCTGCAGAGGGTTTGGGAAAAGAATAGCAAAAAAGGTTCCCCTGACTTTATGTAGAACCTCCAAAAGAGTTTTTAGCTTATATCCTTTGATACTTTTAGAAGAGCTTCTATTGGTTTTATGACCAAAAACAGTTGAATGATCCAGAGATTTTAGGGTTTTTTTTTTCACCTTTAAAATGACACAAACATGTTATTTATAGAAAAAAAACTTTTCCAGAGGACTCAGGATATTCAAATGCTATGACTTCCAAAGGTCTATCAGCTCTATGTCGCTTTCCCACCTGTTGCTCATAGATCCCTATCTCTCTGTTGCTCCACAGACGTACATCGGCTCCATCCTGGCGGCGGTGAACCCCTACCAGCCGCTGCCCGGCCTGTATGACCGCCCAGCTGTGGAGCTGTATAGCCGCCACCAGCTGGGGGAAATCTCTCCGCACATCTTTGCCGTGGCCAATGACTGCTACCGCTCACTGTGGAAGAGGCTGCAGAACCAATGCGTCCTGATCAGGTGGGTGAGCCTGGCTTGCTAAATTTGGATTCATTTCCATCCATTATTTCTGTTCCTTTCTGGTCAGAGGATGCACTGACTGGTCTTATTTAATCTTCTTTGAACTCCAGGCCAACACTTTGATAAAGTCTCCCTGAGCTCCTTGGCTTCACCTCTAACAATCTGATCACAGCATGTTACAGAAACATCCAAACTTCCTACATTTATTTCCATCTCCCGTCCTCTACTTTCCTTCCTCGTGTTTTAGGCTTCACCAACTTTCACATCCTACATCACTTTATTGTTTTCATCCACCTTCAAAGGTGTTATAAATACTTTACAAATGCTAATATTTGTGTCCACATTAAACATGGATGGATGGAAAAGGTTTTCATGTGGCTTTTATGAATCAATCGGCTGTAATTTACTTAGTCATTGATATTGCAACATGTTAATTTAAAGGAAAAATAAACATGGATAATTAGAATACTAGAACATATTTACCTTTAATATAGATCTGATCTTATTTTGGATAAATAAAAATTATTGCATTGTATGCATCGCTCTACCTTACCTTTCTACCCATCCCTTCCCTCCTACCTTATGATCATAAATGCAGCTTTATTCGTTTGGCTTTGAAACGCAGTGTTTCTGGGGAATTAGTTTGGCTGCTGAGTCTCAGTGTTCTTCAGAACCATGACTGTTGTTTCCTCCCAATCAGGCGTACACAGAGCACAAAGTGTGTTTCAAATTTTAGTAGGAGTTAGCTTTTGAGTTTGGAGTTAATACAAGTTTTATCCTCAGCTGAAGTCAAAAGCCATTTTAGTCCTGTTCTTTGTGACAAATCTCACATAAATCTGATTTGCTTCTGGACAAGAGGGGGCGCTGTGAGCAAATATAGATGAGAAAATCTACTTCCCAAACAGTTACAAAGATACTGGAAGAACTGGAAAATGAATCCGGCCTGGGTAATTTGGAGTTTAACCTGTCAATATATAAAAATCTGGAGCATTTAAAGTATTTAACCAAAAAAAGCACTCTGAGAGCACATATTTCCACCAAGCAGAAAAATTTGCCCCATATTGTGACTTTCATCTATAGCTATAACATTATCTGGATCGTTACCATATTTTAATGAATTGCTCCTCGGCCTGAGGTGCACCTTTGGTAACAATTTCCTTATAATCCATTATAAGTTTAAAAATAATACACAATGTGTGCCTGCAGCCTCTGGTGTTTGTTCTGCTCTCACCTTCTTCATTCACTCGGCTTTCCTCTTTGATGAGCAAATCGAGCAAAGCATGGCTCACCCTTCCTGTGTTTTTTTTATTTTTTTGTTTTCACTTTAATACTTCCAGACTTTTCTTAGTCTTAACTGAAGCTGTCTATAGTCACTGCTGCCAACCCTGCTTGTTCAGCCAAATAATGTTACAGAATCCTATAAAATGATACCTGTCACTGGATTATCTATGCATCATTACCAAAATATAATGGATTGTTCCTTTGCAAGAAGCGCTCCTTGTGTAAATATTTCACCGAAATCCTTTCATATCAAGTAAACCTGCTAACAAACATAAACATAACCTCCTTAGTGGAGGTAAGAAACACAATAAAAGCTGCTTTCTGGTGCTTTGCCATTAATTCCATGGGATCATGTATTGACCCAATTTGCCTGATTATTATTTTACACATCTTTAGTCAAGATCACCTCACATATCTAGACCTCATGGATATTAACTACTGGAGGAAAACAAAACATTTTTTAGTCTTTCCTGCTCATTCTCAGACTATCTGTGTGGTCTTTTCTATCCCCTCTGTCTTTAACAAATACAAACTGCAATCATTTTGTCAAACTAATGATTATATGAAACTGTGCTCTGAAGCAGCCTTAGGCAGTGTAATCTTGCCCCCCTATTTATTTCTAACTTACAGACTTGTATTCTGTGGGTGGTGGAAGTGGATGTGTCCACTTGTAGCCCGCTGTGGGTAACTGCAAATGATTTACTTGGTTTGTTTAGGCGGGATAACCATGTTATTGACAGTGCAATAAACCCTTGGCCATTTTGGCTCGCTGTAGGCTAAAGCTGAAACAGTGGAGACGTTTGGCGGGGAAGGGAGTCTCAGCCTTTCGCTCGAGGCGTGAGTTCAGTGGTTAACCGACAATTAGTTGACGTTAAAGCAGACTGTTTCGTCGGCACCGGGAATAATCAGACACAGGTGGTCCATTTAAAATCAAACTAAACAGAATTTAGAACATGTAAAGTTAACAGCTGCTTCTGTTTTCTTCATAACAACTTTATTAAATTCAAACATGGAGAAAAATAGAATTGGTATGTATGTATCAGTTCTAAGAACAAGTGACTCTGTAGAGACTCTTATGTATTAATAAACGCCAGAATGTTCACCTGCTGTTGTTATAAATAACAAAATAAGAAAGAACTCAACTTCAGGTCAGCTACAATAGATTCAGACAGCGTGAATCTGTACAGCGCTATAGTGTAGTCCTTCTATTAAGTTCCTCTAACAGCAGCTGACCATAGCCGCTTTTCTTTAACCTGATAACAAATGAAACAAAGAGAATTCCTGTCATGCATTACTGTGATTGCGATGCTATTAAAGCGGCATGTCTTTGCATGCATTCTCCCTCACATGTTCCCCTGGTTGTCTGCTGGTCTAATTTGCCTCCGTCCTTCTATTAAGGGAGGGAAAAAAAGGCCTTTTGTGTGGCAGGATGTCGGTCAGTGGGAAGAATATGTGCCGTGGCAAAGCAGAGCTAGGCGTAAACACAAACATATCGCACCGCAGTGCTACACAATGCTGCGTTTCTTTTTACAGAGACGCGTCCCTGCAGCAGATCCGCTTTGTGCTCCTTCACATCTCAATGATTCCTGTGACTTTCACTGCTTTTCATTGTGGACTTATTTTAGACACCTGGAGTTTATAGAACCATTAGTCTACCACAGAACCTGTGACCTAAAGAAAAAGAAAATATTTCGGGCATTTTTTCCCCCCATGACAGCAGCAGCAGTGATGTCGGGCAGAAAAGATAAACCACAGAGACCACAGTTTTGACCTTTTACTGTAGTTTTAGCTAAAACATGACCTTGTGGTGTACTGTTTGTTCAAATATGGCAAATAACACATGGAACGTATTGTAAATCTTCCTTATCAACCTATTAAGCCTTGCATATGTAGATTATATTAAAAATGTCAAATATTTGAAGGTTTTCTACACAGTAAAAAAAACAAGTGTTACTTTAACACCTTCAGAGCTGAATATAACTCTGTTCCAAATAACATTTTCTCCCATTTAAAACCAGTGTAAAATACACTCTATAGGCGGTGTCCATTTTCTTATTTAATTTGACTAATTTTACTCTTACTTAAAAAATTTGGAAGACCTCTCAGAAACTGGCAGGTAATTAACACCATATAGAGTAAAAGTTACATTGCATGGCTGTCAAATTTTTCGTTAACTCTTAACTCCATCACTTGAGCTGATTTACACTCAGTATAGATGTAAGTACTCTGTTTAGAATAAAATTGGTTGACTCTGAATTTTGAACACCCATTCTTTTATTGTGTACATTTTAACTTACCAACACTACAAATCAGTTAAAGTATTTTAATTCGCAAATTTAAAAGAAAAAAGGAACTAAACTGTGCCAAAGACTGAACCCTCAACCCTCTTTTGCTACCTTCGATGTTCTTAAGCACATTTTTAAAATGCAGGGTATATTTTCTCATATTTGTTGTCAATTTGGAATCCGTACATGCATGCATATTTCATGTAAAAAGAAAATAGAAATGTGTTTTTGAATCAGTTCTCTGTTTGGCTCTCTTGCCTTAGAAGTTTTTTGACCCTAAAAGTGTGCCCTCTTAAACCACTTGTGTTTAACTGCAAAGCTGTTAACTGGTTGGTAATTTCTACCCTCAAGCAAAATCTTGAGGTGCCTGCTGCAACACAGGAGCACCAGCTGTAGTAACTTTGGGAAAAAAAAAAATGTGTTGATTCAAAACCCAATAGAAAAACTCTAAAATTTTAACGGACTAAATCCTATAAGGACTTGGTAAATTTGTTCTGGTTTGTTGCTCAGATTAAAGAAAAAGGGCGACATGCTTGTGCTTCTGCTGGTCTGGAAATGATGGATGTGTCGAGCTGTGAATAATTTCAGTGTGAAGCACAAATCCTCAGGAAAACCAGAGGGCCTCATTCCAGTGTGGAGGTCCGGCTTCTCAGTGAGCAGAATTGAGCTTGGTGATCGAAGTGTGGTCCATTCAGCAGCAGGCAGTTAGTGAGCAACTTTTATAACCATGAAGCAACATCGGTTTCCGTTACCCAGGAAGTAGTCCTTGCCTCCATAGTCATTTGAACAGAGTGCTGGACAGCTGCTCCAGAACGTGAACAGGTTTACAATGATCATTGACATTCAGACACATGTTCGCTGTGGGCCTGCCAAAAAAAACCGGTGTGGACCCCCCATAAAACATGGAACACGCCTGGGCCCCCACCCCTACACAGAGGGATCCATTTATTTTGTGCATGTGAGGAAGAGGAGCTATAAATCTGCAAGCTGGCAGTGTCAGCCGCGGCAGGAAGCCTTCTCTTCGGATTTAAGGATTGTTGGTAATCAGATCCAGGCGAACGAAACAGGAGCTGGTGTAAAAGAAGAGGTGGTGGTGGAGGAGAAAGAAATCAGCTCTAACATGAAACCATCTGCTCATTAAAGCTTGTGAATGCCACTCTGCGCTTTCACTAATGCGGGTACCTACCTGCAACCAACCACATTGTTATAGGACAGGAGTCCCGGGGAGATTTTATTGAACACTTAAGAAAGAAACAATCTAAATGCTGAAACACAATTTTTATGGAAACCCTACAGAAATTCTCCAAACACAGCAAAGTTGAGGGTTTTAAAGATAATTGAACAATAAACAGGAAATTCTTAAAGTGATTTTTTTATAACAGCAGCTCCTTTGTTTCTGTTCTCATCAGCACTGGTAAAATATACATCACTGTG